TCGCGAGTCTGACGACTTAAACGTAGTAATATATTGGCGTCGAACGCGAGACTTGTTTTAAAAGATGATATAATATTTTGTAAGTACCTCTATTACGAATGGCTTTGGGACGATGGAGTGGAAATCGATATGACTAAACCCTACGCACTTACCCCTGTGTCACATATCTACATAACACTATAAGCGAATCGCGAACCTACCTACCTACGAACACGTTATAATACTATCAGTCTCCTATAAACTAAGTAAAAATTTATTAAAAATTATAATAATACAGTATAAATTAATAATGTATGTACTTAATAGTACTGCTAACGCCAATTTTGGACGATAGCGTGATATATTGGCTGCATTATTTATTATTTTCTGTTTTAAAAGATATCCTCTGTTCGTCACATAATTGAATAGTTTATTGTCTATTTTAGATATTTCATCTTTCAATGCAATCCATTTTTACCAATAAGCTCATTTTTTCTAAAAATATTTGTTTATGTTATCTCTAAGAATACAAAAAAATAATTATTACTATCTACAAGCATCATTATTTATTACTTTTTTTAAAATTTATAGCCATAAATTACTGAGGATTATGCAATATTTCAACATTTTTATTCATCAAATATATTATTAAAACGTAAAAAATAAAAAAGGCTCTGGGAAGTGATATATCACTTTATTCGTCCTTAATAAATAAACCACAATTGTAACAAATAATGAGCACGTGAATGGTAGTTGTTAGGTCGAATATTATGCTATTGATGGTTTTATTCGAACCCAGTCAGTAGTAAGTCCTCTCTACTGACCAAACGACAAAACCTTTCATAAAATTTATGATTACAATCATATGGTTAGTAGGCAGTAAGAACCTACCTATTTCACCGACTGTAATCAAAGTACGAGTAGTTAAGTTGTCACTCCGAAATTGAAGCTAAATCAGTAAATTTCAAAGCACATCATTTTTGCTCCTATTATTATTTATTACCAACAAATAAAATATATTCAGACGCATATTGTGTTCAATAGGTACAACTGATTGGTATTCATATTTAAATTTAATTCCGGGGCTCTTACAACTGTACTCGCCTAAACAAAATGTAGGTAACTACATTATATCGTATGTATGATGTATTTATGTATGCATATAGGYAGATAAGTCGTTGTATTCTTTTATGCTTTTTAAAATTAAAAATAGTAAAATGATTAATTATTTAGATAAAATTCCTACAACTTTTACATTCTTCAAATAATAAGACACCGTTTATTTATATTATGATTTACAATTAATAGTGGATCAAAACCATAAGATTAGGCTTTAATTATTTAAATAAACTTCCTATGA